AATAAGAGGGAAAATGCACAGACTTGCATGTCAGGGATCAACCCCCTCCCTCTTCCGAAGGCATCCTGCATGAATAGCCCTAGAAACCCGCGTACGCTAGCATGTTCAGCCCTTATGAATGCAGAACGCACCTCCAAAATAGAAGCTTCCTTGATATGGAAATTAAGGATACTAAACCTACGGGTGTGAGGATCGCCTTGTTATCTCAGTTACGCTTAGAGGTGTGAATTTTCGCTTCAATTAGTTATCCTTCAAGGCCCTCGCACAAAGGAAGGTCGACGGAACACTTCAAACGCCAGCTTATCGTAATGATATGTACTCCGAGGTCATCTTATGTTTTATGAGTAACCATCCATTTTGAAGATTGCGTATGTAGCAAAATTTAATGGAACCATAAATTTCGCGAGCGCTCATCAGCTGTATCCACTCGCTGCATAAACTAAGTAACGAATGAGAAAATACAGAAAATTTAGCACCGACTCCCTGTTAACACACCCCTTCCCACCTTTTTTGCCTTAGACGTTTTTATACCTTTTTTTGCTGCCCACAGCGTTTGAACTTTCTACTTTATTGATTGCCCCTTGGTCAATTCTTGTGACCTTTATGTTTGTGTATCGAGTTTTCTGTATGAATTCAGTTCTGCATTTTCTCATTCGTTGCTCAGTTTATGCAGCGAGTAGATGCAGCTGATGAGCGCTCGCGAAATTTATGGTTCCTTTAAATTCTGCTACATACGCAATACTCAAATTTGTACCTGGGAAAGGATGCTTCAAATAACCATCCATTGTTTCAAAAACGCGGCTCTATTAACAATTTGCTACGTTGAGCGAAAATGCACTGTTCAGAGAAAGAGCCATATCGACCTGAAATAAAGTATCTTCACACACCATTTCCCCCAAAAGGATATCCTCCGGACTTCTTTCGTCTATGCACACCGTATCAACAGTTCAGAGAAAAATATATTAGTACATAGGTGTACACCGATCTGGTCCAGGATTCACCACCCCTGGCTGTTTCGTCTGGCGAGGGACTGGACACTTCCAGTTCATTTTTCTCAAGGACGAAACAATTATGTTACTCGCTTAGTTTAAGTAACCGATGTATTACCGGCAAACGTAAGCAGTGCAGAATACGCGTATTTCTAGCTTATTGGCTTTCGTCAGTTGCACATACCCAACTCCAGTC